ATAAGAAAAGAGCCAAAGGAAGTACATTATATACATACATACTATGTACAATCATACATATGCACACATGTGTACTTTGGGACATGGTACGAGTTCTATAATGTAAAGATAAAAGACACCAGCTACACATTGGAGGGAATTCTTGAATGCCTTTTCTTCTAGGAGCTCCACCACAAGAAAAAGCTTTATTTGATTTGATATTTTGGTTGATAACAGCAACAGCAACAACAACAAAGAGAGCAGTCAAAGCGTGGAAGAGTGAGAGCAAGATCGAGAGAGAGAGTGAGAGCTGAGTAAACATCAAGTGCGATCGAATTTAGAAATGCCGGCATTCTGGGAGAGAGTCTCTTGCACATGTGCTTTGTGTTTTGTGGCTGTCTCTTTGCTTTTGCTTCGCTGTGTGCTTTGTGATTTCTTTGAATTAGGTTGCTTTTGGGCTTATCCGATGACGCCTACGCCTACCATCGGCCATCCCTCGCTCCTGGCGGCACGTTAATGTAAATTCGAAATTTGGTGGGGATATTTTTAACATGACCCAAATGCCGGAAGGGGGGATCCAGCCACCAGAAAAATCCTCTGACGAAACTTTACCGAACAGCTGCACCCGTCCCGGACCGCCTGTTCCATCATCCTCTCCACCCACTCACCCACCCGCACGCACGACCACAGCTGCAGCATACGCCAAAGAGGATCGTTCGGCTATCGCTTCGCTCGGATCGTTTGACTATCGCTTCAGTTTCAATTTGCCTTGTACGGCTGACAACAAAAGACAAAGGAAACGATGACCAAAGGCAAAAGGCAAAAGAAGAGGAACAGGCACCCCACTTGCTTGGCAAGGGTCTAAGCTGGAATACCCTGGAGTGGTGTGTGATTGCTAAAGGAGATTGCAAATCAACACTCAGCTCACACAAAACAGAAGCCAGCTTTGCAAATATTATGGCAAATGTTTATGGCGTGCAGACATTCGTCATAATAGTTATTATATCTTTGTCGTTTTCTTCGATGGTAAGAAATGAGATATCCCCGCGCTTCGTTGTGGGCAAAGGGTATCCTCACGGGCAAAAAAAGCACGCAGTTTGCGCTGCTTTCTCTTCGTGCGTTTGGGGGAGGGAGCCTCTGCCATCGTCAACGACACGGCTGCGTGCATATTTTTGTTCTCCTTGCTGCTCTCCTGGCGTGCCTGTCTCAGCGCTTGTGTGTGTGCATGTGTGTAGGCCCCTTGATAAAATTGTGTGTGTCATCCCCCGGTTGCCTCCCCTGCGACCCCATGGCCACTGCCACCGACGCGCACTCAATTAAGCTTATCGCGCACTGTCCGTGCCCGGGCCCGGGCCCGTGTCCGTGCTGTGTGCGTGAGTGTATATATGCCTGTGTGCCTTGGGGATATTTGTTTGCTGTTCGTTTTTGTTGTTGTTGCTTTCTGTTTAGAGGTGACTTTCCTCTGTGCGCGCTCGCTCCTTGGAGGCGACCACGCAGCGCGAGCGAGGAAAAAAAAGTACCGAGTATCTCTTCTGCCTGTCACTGCCCCCTGTCCCGTGTTTATGTTTATGTGTGTGTGTATGTGTGTGCGTGTGGCAGGCATTGGTGTCGTGTGCAATCCGGCCCCAGAGCAGCAAGCGGACGCAATCGAACAAAAATCCTCTTTGAGAGGATTAAAATATACACACAGCTTTTGTCGTTGTTGTTGTTGTTGTTGTTTCTTATTCTCATGTGCTCTTTGCCTTTTGCGCAATGTGGGGACAGTGGGCCAAAAGTGATTGTGCGACCAAGGACTGGCGATCAATGGAAAATGATGTGTAGAGATATGGATTCTTTCGTTCAGTGCGATCATCAAATGTGATGTGTAAAAATGGAACGGAGAAGACTCCTGGCTTTGGTTTTTCGAGCACCATCTGCCAATGAGTTTATTCTTATCATCAGCCGTCGTACCACTGTGCCTGTGCCTGTGTCCCTTACATCGCCAGAGGCCTCCCATCGTCCCATAAACGGACAATGTCCCCGCCAAAGCTTAAGGGTAGATGTAGCCATCAGCGACGGCGACGGCGACTGCAACTGCAACTGCGACGTCTACGTTGGCAGCGTCGCTTTCAATTACCTTTCATTTGCATTTCGCGAATTTGCTTATTTCTCTCCCTCTGTCTCTCTCTTTTTACCTTTTCCCTGATGCGCACACAGCCTTAAGTCGGATGCCCGCTGTCCGTTCTCCTTTTTGATTTTCCCGTTCTCATGCAAAATAGGAAACGCCTTGTGTGTGTTTCTGCCACTGTGTCTGTGTGTGCGTGAGGCCTCCGCCACAGGGCGTATACTTGACGCGGACATTGAGCTGCGTCGACTGCGACGCCGACGGCGTTAATTGAATTAAGGCGTTGCAAAGGCTTAAGGCAACAGCAAACGGAAATCGCCAAATGAGGCGAAGGTGGAGGCGCGCGAGGCACGTGTGTGCAGTCCGAGAAAATCCTTTTTGGCCAAGAGACACAACAAAAACGAACCCAAGCTGGCCCAATTCCTCCCGGCTTCAACGGATTCTTTTCGCTGTGCATTGCTGGCTCTTTGGCTTCTGTTTTGCCTCGTTGTTGCCTCCTTCTGCTGTTCATTCGGACTGATTTTTCATCTTGCCCACATTCTCTTTTCGCTGATTCTTTCTGCCTGAATTACAAAACATATTTTGGTCACTGACCTTTTCTTTTTTGCCTTTTCTTCAACTTTTTCCGTGCCGCCTGCTTTTAGAGTTTTTTTTGTTGTTTCTCTGATACGTTTTGTGTTGTTCCACTTTTGAATTTGGGTTTATACAGTAGTTGGCTTCAGATTACTAATTAAAACAGGAGATTTACGAGTCCAAGTCCGAGTCCGAGCAGCGGAAAGTGGATGGAAGTGGAATGGAATGACGATCAAAAGCATGTCGGTAGATAAAAATCAAAATGGCATTCATCAAAACTGCACGAAAAAGGAAAAGAAAGAACCATCTGGATGACGAAAGTATGTCTTTATGTACATACAGACATACATATGTTTAGCCTTTTCCTTGGGCTAGCTGCAGCTTGAAAAGTGAAAGAGATATGCGAGTACGAAACAGCTTTAAATAACAATCATTAAGGAGCGTATTGTGTGACTAAATGACTGACTGTATACTGCTGATAACCGCACGATTCCTACGAATTCTTACGAATAATAATGAAAAAAGATTTGAGGGTCAAAACTGTTGGCTATAATTGCTGAAATTTGATAATCAATTCTAAAATGATTCGATCTGAATGGATTTGAGTTATAATTTGTCTAACGGACAGCTAGAAATAGAGTTACGATCAGCCTTCTATTCATTGTATTCTATTTGGTTTTCGAACCTTTTGATTTCTTGGGAAAACCCTTATAAGTGGAAGAGAAGACTGACAGCAAATCAGTGCAACGAAGAATCTGAAATATTTGTGAAAACGGCCACGCGCATCGGCAGAGAGAGAGAGAGAGAGAGAGCAGACACAACCGTCTCTCTCACACGGGTCTCTTCTGCTCTCTTTCTCTCTTTCTCTCTCTCGTTCACTCTCTTTCCGATATTGCGTATACGACGCTTGGGACTTTTACTTGTTGACTTTTGTTTTTGGGGGAATTTTTTACCGCTGCAACGCGACAACGACAACAAACAACGTTTGTTAGTCATTTCTTGCTGCTCACGTCTGCTCTCTGCTGTGGCTCTGTGCCTGTTGCTGTTGCTTCTTCTGCTTTAACTGTTTCGATCGCCAGCTGAATAACAGTTATAATTTGAGCATAATTTCGACTGGGCGCAAGGTGCTGGTATGCCTGTCCGTCTGTCCGTCTGTCTGTCTGTTTGTCTCTCTCTGAGTGTGTTTAAAAAGCTCTTAGAAAGAGCTAGAGATATATGGAGAAGAGAGCGTGTTACTGTTGNNCGTTTCATTAACAAAACAACCGCAAAATTTATGTGTGATCGGAGGCTTTGCATTCGTTTCCTTTTTGCCCCAATGAGAAATAATAATTCATGATATTTGTTGTTGTTTCTGGTGTGTGCTGTTGTGGTTGTTGTGTTGTGTGAAGTGGGTTAGCCAGACACAGTCGGCGAACGGAGATTGGAGACTGTGATGTATGTAGATGGAGATCGGGTTGAGATTTGCATAATTGAATTTGTGGCCCGCGTGCATACAGGTGCTAGGGTTGTCGCAGGGCCAGGTAAGCAGGGTTGTTCTCCTCGTAGCAGCGGAAGCTCGTGGAAGTTGCAATCAAAGATCATTCACACACTCAATCAATCATTTATTCAGCTAATCATTCACTCATTTGCTCTGTCATTCATTCATACAGAAATTTGCTCAAGCACAGGGTGGGGGGATCAGGCAATGGCCCTGGATAATGGAATGTTCCAGGCCACTGGAAGCCGAAGCCGTACCGAAAGGGGTGCGGCTGCTGCTGGAATGGGAAACTGGAACTAGAAGTGGAAGTGGAACATGGAAAGTGGGCGGAGGGAGGGATATAAAAAAAAGAGAAAAAAGGAAATGGGCGACGGAAAATGACAAAGATCACTGAAGCAAGACCGACAAATAAGCAGCAGCAGCAGCCGAGACTGAAAACGGACGTTTCTATGAGTACGAGTACGAGTACGAGTACGAGTGTGTCTAGTATCTGGTATCTAAAGCGGTGGCGCATTACTCCCCACACAACAACAACAACGGCAACCGAAACAGCAGCAGCAACATTGTGGGCCTGTGTGTATCCATCAGATACATTAAGTGCCTGACGGCCCTGCCTTGTTGCAGCTGCGTCTGTGTGTGTGTGTGTGGGAAATAGCTGGGGGGAAAATGTATCTGGCAGGCATTATAGATTCTCGTATTAGATTGCAAATGAGCCCCAAAGGAATTTCAATCAGACTTTTAAAGCTGAAACGAATCAAATGTGCTCTCATCCTCTTTTTCTTTCGAATTATTTCACTTGCCGGCTCAAAGTTCGAACGAGTACGGAGTACACTCCGTAATTCCTGGAAAGATCTTGGCCAAACTTACCGTTTCTTGAAAGATTCTTGGAAGTAATCCGTGAGCTGTCGTCTGTGCTTGGGGTTTTGGTAGGTTTTGCAACACTAGAGCACTTTTTGTTGGTTTGTTTTGTTGTGGGTTTTGGATTCGTTTGAATGTGTAATTGTTGATGCTGTTGCAGTTGCTGTTGCAGTTTCAGACGAATCAAATCATAAACAGTTGTGCAAAAACATAGTCCACAAGCGAATAATATAGGAGGCGAAAACGGAAGACAAGCGCGAACATGAAGCCAAAACGAAATGCAAAATAATAAAAGCTTCAACGCTTGGTGGCGGCTGCAGGGAAACGCCGCGTACTCGGACTATCAACGGCGGCGCACGAATCTCCAATCAGAACTGAAACGTAGGGATGCCGTGTGGGTCCCTGGAACCGAACGACCGAATTGCCGAAGAGTGTTGTGCTCCACCCGAACACGGACACAGACACACACGAATGCCAACCGAGAGCGTTGATCACGAAACACGAACTGAGCGGACGTTTCTTTGGGGCTGCGGCTGCGGCTGCGGATGGGGCTGGGGCTGGGGCTGGAACTGTGGATGGGCTCTGGGAGCTGGCTGGGTGGGGTTGGCGGGCGGGCGGTCGGTCTGGACTTGTGTGAGTGTGTGTGTTTGTGTGGGGGTCTGGCTGCCACGACGACGAACATGCGCGCGCCTGTTTCGTGCTTTGGGGCCTGGGTGGATAATAATACAATATCGTAGCTCTGCTCCCGTTTCGCGTTTTGTAATTCAGAGTTTCAAATGTGATAAATGAGCATTGCCCCTCTCTCTCTCTCTCTCTCTCTCTCTCTCAATCTCTGTCTATGTCTGAAGTCCAAGCCTTGGACCGAAACAAAACAAACTAAAAAACGCAAGTGGATGTGGACGGACGAGCGGATGAAATGGAATGGATGGAGCATTCGGAATGGTTCGAAATGGCCAGCAGCAGAGGCCCAGCAGTCAGGCCGCCGAAAGCGGTTGCAAACAAACGCAGAGAGAAGAAGAGAGTAAGAGCGAGAGAGAACAGCCAGCAACTTGACATTTTGACTTGCTGCTCACACGCACGCACATACACATGCGCAACAGCCACGCTGCGTTGGCGCTCTGCCCTTACGTGTGTGCTGCTCTCGCTCTCTGACTCGCTCGCTCTCTCTCTCTCTCTCTTCAGCCTGAAGATAAGCTTATGTTGAAATAAAGCTTGTTCCTTCGCTCCGCTCTGTTCCGCTGTGACCTGCTGCCACAACCCAACCTCTTCTTCTTCTTCTTGCTGTTCCCCCTCCCACTGCCTGCTGTTCCCTTGAGCAATGCAATGCATTTCGGTGGTGGTGGTGGTGCTGCTGCTGCTGCTGTCTCAGCGTATTACGAAATATGACAACAATGCAGTTTGGTCGTCCTCGTTTCGTTCTGCCGACACTGCGGCTTCTTCTTCGTTTCGTCGTCGTCGTCGTCTTCTTCTGCTCTTTTCTTTTGCTCTTTCTGTTTCTGTTTCTGTGCTCTCTGCACGTTTGCCTGCTCAGCACAAAAACACACGACTCTCGCTCTCTCTCACACACTCTCTTTCAAGTGGGTGGCTCTCGCTCTCTAGCTCTCTTTGCACCACTTGCAAGTTGATTGCATTTCAATGAAGTTTCTGCGAGGCAGCTAAAAATAGCGTCGTGCGGGGGAAATCTCTAGCATGGGAGGCGGGCGCATTCCAAGTGCAACAACAACAACAACAACAACAGCTACAGCGATTCCAAATGCCATCCATCCATCCATCTATTACGGACAAAACGGGTTTCGATCAGAAGCGTGCCGGCGGCGGCGTCTCTACCGGTCGGTCGTGCTTCTAACTGAAACCGAAATGAGTCGATATTTTCCCCGCTGGATCGACTAGGGTTTGGGCCTGCTTGGGGGTGTCCCCCAGTTGAAATTGTGGCACACGTAACCCACCTGAATACGGACAGCGGCCTGCAGCTTGGGTAAACTCCAGCGAACGACTGCGAACGGCGGGGGCGTTACCCAAAGCCCCCCATACACGCTGAGGGGCGTATCGGGTTATTTGTAAGCATTTAAAGGATCATTAGATCATGTCTGGGAAAGATATTCAATCATTTGGCTAAACAAATGATGCACGGATTGTGGAAATTACTGAGAATTCGGATAGCTAATGGGTTCTTGATGGAAAGATACATTTCGGTTGCTTTGGGAAGGAGTTTCGAGACAAAAATGATTAATTCCCAATGGAATTTTTGTTTAATATTTAATATTTTATTTATATACCCTAAAGAACCACTTCCTAGAGATATTTGTTTCGATTCATTGTTATATTTCATTAGAATAGTTAAATAATTACAATAATTGTGCGCCATGAATCATGCACCTGAGAGTCGGAGAAATGATTCATCAGAACGAACCACGAAAGTGCATCCATCCGTCCATCCATCCATCCATCCATCTATCCATTTGTCCATCCCTCATTTGCATTCCCTTGTGAAATGCACTGCGATCGTGTGGCAAGTCCCAAGGGGTCTATGTGCATTGGGCACTACCCGAGACTAGAGGGTTCTGAGTTCTGGGGGACGCTGTCGATCAACAGGTTTGCCTGCCTGCCTGCCGCCGGTTGCTACTCGGCTTGATTTTTTTTCCCGCTATTCAAAAGTGCCACCAGCTGAAATAAATAAATTGCTTAATTGTTGCTGCGGCTGAGATGAAATTTGCTTTTAATTAAGAAACTTTCCGCGAGGGAGGCGGCGACGGCTCTCCCCAAACCTTTGCCGTGCGGGGGTTTTCCTCTCTGTATCTATGGCTGTATCTATAGCCTTTATCTGTACTTGTATCTTTATCTGTGTGTGTGTGTTTCGCATCTATTTGTTTTATTAGACCAAAGTCGTGCACTTTGTTAACAGAAAGCCTGGCTGGCTGGCTGGCTGACTGAAACGCGTTCTGCGTGGGATTCTCTAAGACAAGTCTGTCGTCCGTTATTTTGTTTTTGTTATTTTGTTATTTTATTATTTGGGGATTTGGCCGATACTAAAACTGGTTCTTGAAACCATCAAGGAGTTGGTTGTGTGGTTGAATCATACAAAAACAACAGCAGCAGCAAAGAGTTAAACAAATTAAAATTAGGTATCAAGAAATTTAGATTTGTATCCCCCAGCTCGGGTTGAAATTTTGTCTGGGATTTCCTCTTGAATTTCAAACGCTGTTTCCTAACGCATTTAAGTGCTTGACCTGAATACCTCCCCAGGTGGCTCCCAGCTCCCAGTGAAACTTCCCCAGGGAAAACTTTCAATGCAAAGAAGGAAACCAACCAACCAACCAGCCAGCCAGCCAGCCAACCACTTTGCATCTCTCTTTCCCCACTCGTTTTTGGTTTGGGATTTCATAATCGAAACGAAAGCTGAGAGCCGAGAGCCGAGAGCCGAGTGCTGCTGATGTTTCGAAATCGTTTGGTTACTCGCATTTCCTCAGACCGATCCTAATGCTCCGTGAATGTCTGTCTCTCTGTGTGTGTGAAGGTGGCTTTGCCCTTTTCTAAGCCTCGCCTAACGGGACCCAGGCCCAGGCCAGACAGTTCCATCCCCACTCAGCGAGAGCGAGACACGCTGTGCATTTTACTGTACCAGCATTTTTCTCACACTCCACAAGAAAAAGCTGACGCGACGGAGGAGCTGGCCACACAAAAGGTGAAGAAGCGCTGCAGGAAGTGGGCAAAAGGTTGGCCCCGTGCAGAGAGAGAGAACGGGAGAGAGACACAGATCTGGGGGGGGGGTGGAAAGTATTAAAGTTTTTTGGTTTTAAATCTGAATAAAATAAACCATTAAAATATGAAGTAAATCATCAATCTTTAAGGGTACTCGAAGCTTTGGCAACTGTCTATCTTTTTCTTTTTGAAATTGTACTTTTAATTTCAGTTTTTGTTGAATTTGTATGAGCCTTGATTGTACCTCGATATGGCATCATGCCGTACATATGTATATTTCCTCTCTAAGATCAGCTAATTAGTGACCTCTTGCGGCAAACAATACTTCAGCTGTACTCGTCTTACAGCTCCTCTCATGTCCATGGCTTTCAATCGAAAAAAAAGAACAGAATTAAAGACACCCAAAAGGCAGCAGCAACAATCATAATTACGTGGCTAACCTTAAGAGTTGACACAAATCCGGGCTAGAGCCCGTTCCCAGCAATTAACTTCAAATGACACCAAATGCCACCGAGGCACGCCACGCCAGGGCCCCAGCAGTGCCACAGCGAGTAGTCGTTGAGTCGTTGAGTCGTTGAGGCGCCGCCCACCAGCCCACAGGCCGCTGTCGCCGTGAGGAATATCGCAAGTGAACGGCAACTTTGATGACGCCCACAAGGCGACAACAACGTTGTACCATAGATGATGACGATGATGATGATCATCGATGCTGGGTATGGGCATGCAGCATACAGCATGAGGGCATGGGGGCAGCTTTTGCGGTTTATTTGATCAGCGAGCATTCCATTGATTTGTAAGAAAAAAGGGAAAATGGATTGAAAGAAAGAGAAGCAAAAGCAGAAGACAGATCTACGGAGAACGATGGAAGTCTTACAGTGCCTGTTCTGTAATTTTACGTTCGAGATGAATCTCACAGATACATCACAATCCCCATCCACACACACCACCCGTGAAGTGCAATTGAAATACTGTGTGAAATTTTTCGCAGCTTCAAGCTTTGTCTCAGGTACAGTGAGGAGCCGCTTGAGCGGACACCGAAGTCACCTGGGGGATACAATCATGTGTAGCGATCTGTGTGGATCGTAGAAGCATCCACTGTGCCAGACAACTTCATCTATTAGTACACGCTTCGCCTTGCCTTTGTGCCTGTTTTGCGGCCACTTCACTTCACTCCATTCCCCACCACTCCACTCCGCTTCCTTCTGCTCTCCCTTCACGGCCCTCTAAGCACCCCTTCTGGGCCGCACTTTGATTCGTGGCTCATTCAATTCAAATACCTCGTGATTTCGTCAGCCCGATTCTGCTGCGGCCTGCCACTGCCACTGCTGCTGCCCCTACTGCTGCTGCTGCTGCTGCAGCGTATTCGAGGCCATTGAGAGCAGCAGTCAGGGCAGCAGGGGGTCGGGGCTGACACATAGCTGAAAGTACGACTTTAGTTGCTCTTTGGCGATGCAGTTGGACGACGACTACGGCGTTTGCTGTCAAGAGATTTGCAGTAGTTTTATGCCCTGTAGTTGTAGAGCACTCGGGAGGTATATTGGTTGCATGCAAATCGAGGTAACAGGTAACAGAAGAAAGTGTAAATGAACTTTAGAGAGAAGATCTTCATCGAACATCGAAGAATTCAATTAAATTAATTAGATGGCAATGGAAAACAATAAAAAAACAAATAAACTTTATTTATTTTCAGTATTTTCAGTAAGCTAAAGCCGAGTATTTAATTGTGTTAAAATTTATTTGCATAGTGTAACAAAAAAGAGAGATATTCAAAATAAATTTCCAGAAGGAAGATGCACAGAACGACATCGATTGCTGATCTGCTGATGTATCCGTTTGCTTATGGGAAATTTACACAACTAATCCACATCATGCCAACTTTGTGGTCTCTCACAGTGGGCCTCCCCTGCGGACACTTTGGATGCGAGGTACTTCTGTGTCGTGGCCCTCGACTGTGTGGCGTTCTCTCTGGTTTCTGTTTTGGTTTGTTGCTTTGGGTGTATGTGTGTATGTGTGTGTGCGTGTGTGTTGTGGCGTGATGACCTTGAGCCGCTCATTTCAGCCAAGTGGCTTTTGTGTACGGCCGTCTGTTTGTCTGTCTTGACGTCTCTCCGAAGTCGAAGGTGCTACCCAGTTCCAGTTACTTTCGGCAGCTCTCCACCGTGTGCATATTCCATCTATTTCGCAATGAGAGATACGCAGAAAGAGAGTAAGAGAGCGTGGCAGAGAAGGAGAGAGAAAATGTGATGGAAAAATCAATGCAGTCAATGAAAACTTCTCCCAGCATGCCCTTCCATTGGTCTCACTCGACTTCTTGACAGTTTTTCTGTATTTACAAATTTCCAACTTCGATGGAAAATCATAGCTGGGAAACTCTTAGTATTTTTAAATTGGCAGTGAGAAAACCCAAATGAATGCCTTTAATGTCGTTACGACAATCCAATGTTTGTTTGGTCTCTGCCCTGTGCATCGGCAGCCTGATCAGCGTGAGTATTCAGAGGCGGGAAATGGCTTTCAATACCCTAAAATCATTGCAGATCATCAGAGCCGCTCCCATTCTTCCATCGTACACTGATCCTCTCCATCCGACTACGAAGTCGCCCCTCTGGCGTTTCAGTCCACAAACAATGCCGGACGATGAGTGGATACCCACAGGATCGACTTTCTATGAAAACAGCGTTACGAAGGCCCCACCAAGAAGTGCCTTTGCGGCATACATTAACGCAAATCGCACACAGTTTGTGGAGCCAATCACGTTGAAGGTGTGGCCCTCACACATCGATCGTGTCAAGCTGGAGCCCTTTTGGAGCACAATCTTAGAGAGAAATGGAGAAAGCTTTACGACTGCCATGCATCCGAGCCTTTGGGTTAGGCAGCCAAACATTTATAGTAATTCGGAGCTGCTTCCTCGCCCGAACACAAAGGTGCAAAGACCATTAAGTTCCAGTATCCCCCTAGGTTCTAGTAGTCCATCAGTTCCCAGCGACGAAGCAGAAACCAAGCCAGCCAAAAGGCGGAGTAAAAAGCGTTTCCGTGGCAGGGTCTCGCCTCCTTTGGGATCAGTCCATCCGGGCATTAAGTTGAAGGCTCCCGAGACACGGGAAATTGGAGTAACTGCAGCCATGAGGAATCCAGACCTAGTGCTGGTGGACCTAGGTCTGCCTTCAACGAAAGACTCTCAAGAGACTTCCCAGTCGGAAGGTGCCGAAGTCGAAGCTGTAAGACACACGAATAAGATGCGCTTGCGCGGCAGAAAGCATTCCAGGAGAAAGCAAAGGAGAAGAAAGCCAGTAACAAAGGGAAACGTAAGCAAACCTCAGCTAAAACGGAAGATGTCTGTGCCCATGGAGCTGACACTGCCCATGAAATACCTCATGAGGGATGCAGGGAAGACCACGCTGGACTTTTTTGTGCACACCGATCCACCGGTGTGGCTGGATACGCGCTACCATTTCCAGCAGCTGAGTCAAATGCCGCGACTGCGCATAGAGTCGAATCCCATGGTGGAATACTATCCCGATGAGGCTGGGATGGATGAGGTGTGCAGGGATGAGTCCACCATTATTGGCACGGATATCGTGACGAGCTACATCAAGCCGCACATCTACCCCAAGCCCTACACCAAGAGGATCCTTTATACGAAATTTCGTGACATTTGGGGCATGGATCCAATTTTAATGTTCTGCCACCACCCGGAAAATGTACCCGTCCTGAAGTTCCTGAAATGTGCCATCATGCGGCACAAGATGATGGAGTCCATGCTGCCCAAATATCCCTACCATCAGGTGCAAACATAGTGCCAACATTTACGCAACTTTGTAGTCTGTGAAAATAAAGGAAATTCAATCGAATCTCTCAGTATGCTTTTCACATTTTGTACACTTTGTTTGCTTTTACATTTTACAATTGAATTCTTAGCAAAGGAGACTCTTAGTATTACAAATTGGCAGTGAAACTTGCAAGAGGTTTGCCACACAAATGTCGAGATATTTTTGGGTCCCTGCCCTGTGCATTGGTTGCCTGATCAGCGTGAGTATCCGCTGAGACAAGTTCAACCTCTTTCTACTACAAAACTAATGCAGATTATTCAAACCGTGCCCATACATTCAACGTCCACTGATCCTCTCCGTTGGAAGACTTCTTTAAGCTCAAACCACTCGAAGTCAACACCGCAGCTGCAGGCAGCGGCAAATGTTTCCGTTTCCGTTTCCGTTTCCAAATCAAACTCCACAACGCAAAGTCCTAAATTATCATCTGCAAACAGCACAATACAAGCCCCAGCAAGGACCACTTTTGGGGCATATATTTCCACAAATCCCCGCCAGCCTACACCTCAAAGTACGCTCAAAGTGTGGCCCTCACACAGCGATCGTGTCAAGGTCTTGGAACCCTTTGTAAGCTCAATCATTCGTAGGTATGGTGACAAGATCACGACTATCTTGAGGACAATTCCTGTCAGAGGACCCGAGGTGGCCCAACATGCAGATCGAGCGATGCCAAGTGCCCAAAAGCTGAGTAGCCGGAGCCCAGCGGTGCGCAGAAAGCAGGAAGCTAAAGGGAAAGCGATGGAAACACCTCGTGAAAAACCCATGGAGCTGACACTACCTTTGGAATACCTTGCCAGAGCAGCAACCATAAAGGATTCGATTATATACACCGATCCACCCATATGGATGGACACGCGCTTTCACTTCAAGTACCAAAGTCGACAGCCGCGACTCCGCGTCGAGCCGAATCCCGCTGTGAACTACTATCCCGATAGCAAGAAGATGAGCACCGTGTGCAGGGACAAGTCCACCATTATAGGCACGGATGGAGTGACAAATTATCTGAAGGAGCACGTCTACCAGAAGCCCCACGGCAAGCGGATACTCTACAATCAGTTTCGTGCAAATCAAACTCTGAATACGCTGCTGCTGTTCTGCCACATGCCCACAGTTGTTCCAGTGAAAGCCTTCCTCGATTGCATGATAATGCGACACATGATGATGGAGTCCATGGTGCCCAAGTATCCCTATCATCAGAAGCAATCAAAGCTATAGAGAATCACATTGTACACTCCCATCACAGTAGACAATGTCCTTTCTTTCCACTCACATTTAAGCATCAAATTCCATGCGCTACAAGTGCTCTGTAAATGTTCTTTATTATTTATTTTACTTAACAAATTTACTGTGAATACATTTATTTATTTACGCGACAATGTACAAGATAGGTGTCATCATTTTGCTGTGTCTGTGCTGCTTTATAACCGTGAGTCAAAGTCAAGCCAAGTCGGATTGAAACCCAGCTCAAATTGCAATCCTTTCCAGACAAAACCTCTGCACCGAGATCATCGCAATGGGCACACAAATATGTCCCACACTCTATTGTCTGGCAATCAAAGTGCACGTTTCTTGGATGATTATGATTTGGGTTTGAGCGATCAGTCGAAGGATTCGATAAGTGCCGGTCGTGGCATTCGACTCTTTCAATATCCACCCATGCACAATGAGCAAACGGCCAAGCCGGAGGACACGACAATGAAGCCAAAGAAGGCGCAGACGAAGAGGTTATCCAGGAGCACTGAGACTGCACCGAGGACCGCTGCCACCAAGAACTTTGTACAGCTCTGGGGACTGTCCGTGGAAGATGAAAAACTCAAGCCAAGAGCCAGGGATGTGGTCGATGCTCAAGCTGAGGAGACGCCAGATGGCGATGGGCTTGCGGCGGAACAGGAAGACGGCGACGATGACAACGAGGAGGCAGCCGAGAGAGATGAGGATGCACCCAGAGAAGAAGCATTAACCAAAAATGTAAAGCTGGTGCCGAGGCCTACAACAGCAGAGCCAGAGCTTGGGCTAGAAAAAGAAACACAAAAGGAAGACGACGTGGAACGTGATGACAATGAGGCGGATGACAATGTACTCAAAAGACTGGATAAATCACGCAATGACGACGCTGACAAAGATGATGCTGATGTGCTTGGCTTCAAGAACCTTTTGACACCGAAGTCACTGATGGGCGCGGAAGTTCAGGCCAGACAGGAGGAGGGCGGCAATGATGAAGTCACTTATGCCAACAATTGGCAGGACACGCGCAGGGAGGAGTGGCGCAGTGCGCTGGCCCGTGCCGGCATCATGTCCAATCCACTCTCCGATTACTATCCATCGAACACGAAGAACCTCAGCACGGTCTGCGCCCTCAAGTCATCGATTATGAATTTCCCCAAGGTGTTCAAGTGGCTGCACAAGATGATCCTGAATATCACATACCATCAGCGGCCAGTCTTCACCGAGCTGCGGCACGAGCTCTACGATTTCGGCAAGTCCGAACTGTGCCACACAACCGAAATGACCGATTGGGAAAAGTATCAGACCTGCGCCCTTATTCGCAATCAGCGCATGGAGTACATGATTCCACACTATCCGCTCCACCAAGTTGGCTATCGGCTGCTGTTCAAGGCCAAGAGGGATTAACACAGGACAGGACTTTCTTTCCATAACTATGGAATCGCTGTGGCAAACGTAGCAGTCCTGGTGCCTCTAGGAAAGTGTTTGAAAGTGAAACTCACACAACAAAATACACAGCAAAATAAATACACACCAAACGATGAGGGTAAATTTTCTAGTGTGTCTGGCCTTGGGTTGCTTGAGCGTAAGTAGCAGCCTGAATGGTTTTCCCCAATCACAAGTAAAATGTCCGCCAGGTGATGCCTTTGCTGGTGCATGCCATGCCGATCGAGCAGCCTCAAGACGAGCTGCAGACAAAGGGCATAGCCGAAACTGAAGATCCTGATGGGCAGGACATGCAGAAGGCAACTGATTTGAACGCTGGGTTTGAGGAACAGGAACAGGAGCAGGAGCAGGAGCAGGACATGCAAGTGGCAGCAGACAGTGCTGGCATTGAGAGAGAGGAACAAGAGCAAGACATGCAAATGGCAGCAGATAATTCCGGCTACGGCAGGCTGGAAAGGGAGCGAGAGAAGAGCAAACTTCGCATGTTTCCCAAAGTGCATCGCACCGCTCTAGCAGCACACGGCGGACAGTCGCTGCACACCAAGGATCTGCTCAACTTTTGGGTCAAGGAGAAACCCCACGAAGTCACGCAGGCAGCGCCAAAGAACGATGATGGGGAGCTGGATCTACGAGCTGGTAAAGGAAAGGGAGGAGGAGGCGGAGCTGCGGCCACAGTTGCTGGCAGAGCTGGCACCGAGATGACAATTTCCCTGCCGAATGTTGTCACTGATCATATGGGCAATTGGGTGTTCAATCCCTGGGGACTCACCTTCGGCCGTGTTTGGGAGGACACTCGCTTCGCGTTTCAGGGCAAACACTGGCTGCCCTGGATCATGAAGGATCTCAGCATCAAGGGCGACTATCGGCAGGAGAAGCTGCACGGCACCGTGTGCCAGGGCAAGTCGACCATCTACAACTATCCCAAAATATACAGTTGGTTTCCGCGCCACATTGACACCCACAAGCGCCATCATCGCAACATTCTGCTGAATCTGCGCAGGGAAATCTACACGGATGGCCGCACAGAGTCCTGCCACGTGAAGGATCTGGACGATTGGTACGCCTATCAGAAGTGCACCATACTGAGGAACATGCGTATGGATTACTTGGTGCCCAATTATCCACTTCATCGTTGGTATAAGACCCCATAGAGTGGAAAATAAAACTGGAAAATATTTTAATCGCTAGAGCTTTGCTTTCCATTTCTGACAATATTTTGTGAACACATTTCTACACAACAATTGTGGCAGGGGCAGTTGCGGCATGTTGGAAAATTCTCTTGTCTCTGCGTTTATTGCCTGTCTAATCAGCGTAAGTTCATACAAGTTCTGGCTGCTCCTCCATTATTCCCCTCTCTCTCTCTCTCTCTCTCTCTCCGCTCTCTCCGCTCTGCAGGCCACATCTTTGTTTTATGTGTCGCAGGCTGCCAGTCTGCGAAATGCTCAACCACGTCTAACCCTGTCCATGGCTTCCCGGTCGCGAAGTGCCATGCAATCGATGCGAGAGTTTGCCCTGTACATGGGCCCCAAAGGATTGCCGGTGGAACCCGAGGAGCAGTCACGCGGCATGGATGTTCCCTTCTTAACCGCAGGACAACGCCAACTGCTGGCGGAGGATGAAGAGTTTCCCTTGGACTTGCGCAGCAAAATGCCAGAGTTTCAGCCAAAGGAAAATGCTGCCATCAAGTGCAGAAGAAAGATCGATGGCGATTCAGACTTGGAGTTCTGCACTGGCACAGATGAGAGTGCGGCAGCTCATTCGATTGCGATTCATTTGGTGTACTCAATGCTGATTGTCCCGCTGCTAGTTTAATACAAATAATACAAATTCTGTTTGCAAGTGCTGGAATGCAGCTGCTCTCGGCAGCTCTCACCTTCGTTTCGTTTCGGGCCAAAAAGAACGCCAGAAGTTTGCAGTTTAGCGCTGGCATCCGCTGCAGCCTTTGCTTTTTCTGCTGTCGCTGTTGCATTTCGCGAAACTGTCACAAGCGTTGACCCAATTACGCGGGGGGAGGTGTGGTGTGGCGGGGGGCCCGTGTGTGTAGGGTTCACGTTTACTGAGTTAGCAAGAAGTCGTCATGCCCGTGCCTCAAATGTTGCAACAGCAGCGCTTCCGAAGCGATTCTTTGTTCATAAATAATTGGAGCACTTTTGCCAACGTTGCGCACGTTCTTTTTTGTGGACAGGGCAAGGTAACACTTGGCCAAGGTAAGAGCCACAGCGACTCATGCCTCTCAGCCTCACAAGCGTACCAAAAAAGAACACAAAATCCCTGTCACAGCGGCAGTTTCACAGCCTTATCGGAGGAGTGACAAGTCCTGCTGATAACAATGTAATCAATGGCCGATAAGGCGTCCTGGCTTATCACAGGAGCAGCAGTTGTTGCTGTTGCTTTTGTTATCTCTATCAATATGTGCTATCAATGTGTGCTGTGTATCCTGCCCCTCGATTAGAGACTGCAACAAAATCAATAATAATAATAATCGTTTGTAGCGGATCGAAGGATCGAAGGAAAGGCATCGTGGGCATTATCAGCGTTTTCTTTGGGAGGGCGTTGACCAGACGGCGGCTCTGCGGCTTTGTCCATTTTGTTATCAGCCACAACAAGTTGTCTGGGACATTGTCCGACTATGACTTCAAAATCCTCCTGGACTGGCAGTGGCACTGGGACTGGGACTGGGCAGCAGCAGCGGCTTATCACCAGCAGTGGGCAGAGCGTAAATAATACACAGCCCAAGGCAGGGGGAGACAGTGGGGATAGTGGCGGCAGTTTCCTAGTTTTTCCTAGGCCAAGGGGCACAAGTAACAGAAAGAGAACAGCAAGAAAACGAGCTGTAAAAGAGCAGAAGAAAGAGCAAAGAATAAAAGCAAAAAGGCAAAGGCAAAGGCAAAGTAAACCTTTGGCGCTGGCAAAGTGCATTCGCCTCGGAAAGGGCAGTCAATGCCAGGAGGAGTCGGTCGCTCGGTCGCTCGCCTCTTGGCCTCTGCAGCGTACAGTGGGGCTGCCAGGCGGCCTCCTATCGTACAGTGGGATAGTGGCATATGGAGTGGCACATGTGATAAAGGGAGCCCAGAGAAGCCGCTGAGAATCCATTAGCAGTTGCAGGGCAAAAGGGGCGGCAGCATGTGAATGGGAAATGGGAAATGGTAAATGGTAAATGAAAATGCGATGGAAAATGGGTGCAAGTGGCCAGCCAGCCACTCGCTCTTTGCTCCACTCTTTGCTGCGTACAAAAAAGGGTTCAATGCACGATTTGTTCTTGCTCCTCCTGCTGCTGGCACTGCTTCTGGCTCTCCTCTTTGTTTCTCTCTTTCGTTGCCATGGGAAAATCTTGGCCCTTGGGCTAAACTTCAACTCTCAGCAGGATCAACCCTCGCGCTATTTCCATTTCCATTGCCGTTCCTCTAATTATAATCAATTAAAAAACTCAAACACCGAACACAGTCCAACAGCAGATTCTGCTGGTAGTGCAAAAGGATCGACCCACTGCCCGCCGCCTGATGATTGCCTTAATTGAGGTCGAAAAGCGAAATTCAATTTATAATTTCAAACCAAACACGCGTCTGGCTGCATGTCGCATTGGAATTGAAAATTTATGCAGGATCGGCATGTGGGCAGGATCGATACGAGCGTAGGAACATGTTGCTCTGGGAACTCTGACTACTGTTGGGCAATTGCCTTGTCTTGGCAGCTACTTTGTTGCATTTGTGAGGGTCATAGCTAGCCTTAAAACTAATTATACACAGCGATCCTCTTGCAGAGTTCATTGAACGTGAAGGGACAAAGGGAAAAACCCAAAGAAAATGTACAAAAATCAAACAAAGGGAAACCCAAACAAAGGCAGGCAAATGAAGGTAAGGAACAGAGAGAGAGAGAGAGAGAGAGAGAGTCTCTGGGATAAGCAACAATCAAAAGACAGCAAAAGTCAATGAATAGAAACGGCAACGAACAAATGCTGAATGCTGATGAAGTCAGCAAGGACACAAGACAAAAGGATACCGAGATTCGAGACTCGAGATGTGCGTGCTGCGATACGCGTGTGTTCCACGAAGCAACAGCAGGGACACGGCCACGGCCACGCCCACAAGTAATGCGATCCTCCAACGATCCTCTCTCCTCTCTGCTCTCTGCTCTCTGCTTCTTGGTGTTGAGTAATTTGTGGCCTGCCTGCCGATAAAAATCTGTTAATCGATGGACAAACATAAACAAAGGCAAAGCCAAGAAAGGCACTCCTGCAGGGGTGCGTGCACAGGGTTAGGGTGTTAGTTAGGGGTTGGGGGGGGTGCGCCTCGATCGGTAGCTCCTGGCTGGATCTGGCCGAATGCTGGCGGTGGTCTATTTTCGTCGTAGATGTGGGTCCACGCTTCATCTCGGGGGTTGCAAGGCCTTATTTGGGGGGTGCAACTTGAGGCTATTTTCGTACTCTTCACAGTCTTCAATGTGTGTCAATCTTGATTAGGATTTCCATACAGAATAGCGCCCAAAGTACCCGCAGTTTCGGTAGCAATTCCTTATGCCAGGACCTATCGTGTGACCTTTTGGGTCACAATTGATGTGTGCCCTAAATCTCCATAGAAAATCAATTAATTTCCCATCCAAAATGATCGTCAAACAGCTAAAAATACGCAGCGGACAGCCGCGATAAATGAGGGAAATTCTTTTGTCGTTTTGTGGTTTATTTTGAATGTGTAAATTAATCAAGCCAAAAGGAGTTCGATTCATGAGCACGAAATGCTATTAGAGGCAAATTCCTGTTCCTTTCTGTCTATTGCCGATAGATACAAAAACTCACACACAGACAGGCATCGGCGGCCGTATTTGCTTCTATTTTTACTGTGTTGAGGCAGAGGGAAAATGCCACAGAGAGAGAGAGAGAGAGAGGATTTTGCCGTCATCGTCGCCTCCTCGAACGCAATTTCCTTCCTGCTTCTGCGTACTGCAAATAGCTGTAATAATAAAAGCGACGATCTCTGGCAGCCACAGCCTCAGAGTCAGCCTCTGTCTTGGGTCCCAGTTCCCTGCTGCCTGCTGCCTGCTGCCTGTTGCCTGTTGCTGTGTCTCTGTGTGTGCTGCCGCCTGTTTATGGCCGAAGACTCTGCTCTGTAGGATGCGACAAGAAAAGCAGGAAAAACTCCTTGGCGGCGGCCACACACAACCAACAAATACACACACACACAGATGGAGTTGCCTCTGGCAGTCGTTGTCCTATCCCACAAGCACAGATCGTGGTGCCTGTGCCTGGATCCGCTGGGCTGGGGGTTCAATGAACTGCCGTCACCTCTTGGGGCAGCAGCGCCTTGCCTATGCCTGCGTCGACAGCGACAGCGACTGCAACTGCAACTGCAACTGCGACTGCAAGTGGTGTGGTGTGGCAATCCTTTTTCTTTGCCTCCAAAGATCTCTCTCTCTCTCTCTCTCCCCCATTGCACCCTTCACTTGATCTTTGCTGATCTTTCTCTGTGTATGCGGGGAATGCTGACTCGCAGGAGTCCGCTCATTGCCTCTCACTCTCTGTGTGCTCTCAAGGGTTCCAATTCCAAATCCAAATCCATTTCCAGATCTTTCGCTGTGGCTGGGGACTTTTGCTTTGGGTTTCACTCTTCGAGTGGGGATATGTAAACATCGTCGTCATCATAATCGCTGTCCGTTGCCAGTGCCTGCTCCAAGGCTGTGCCTGTGCCTGTGCCTGTGGGGGATGGGGACAGTTGTGTGGAGTGGCGCGGGTTGGTGGGGGGGGAGCTGCTATATGGGATGCTGACGCGTATCCCTTTCTGCCTCTCTGCCTTTCCCCCTGCCTGCTCGTTTTTTTCTGTGGAATGTGCCGCTTGTTTACTCAAATGTATATTTGATCTTCTGCTGCTGGGGTTATTTTTTGTGCTCTATTCCCCTTCCTCACTGCTGTTTGAACTGGAACCTGGAGCTGAAGTGCACTTGTGTTTATCTGTAAAGGATTTTTCAAGGAATCACCCCCAGCCAGCGGCATATTCATTTATTTTTTCGCTGATGCACTGATATTTCTGTGCCATGGGTCTCCATTTGTTGCTGTACAGTTGAGTTTGCGCTAATCAGCAGAAAGCAAATGGGGGAGAACATGGATCGGTAGAGCTGCAGATGATGGAAGAGAAAAGGAGAACCCACTCGAGGCAGGATCTACCCAAGAACTGGCCAATTTCTAGGGCAAATCCCCCAACGATCTTCCATCTCCACTGCCAAAGCAGCGCTTCCAGTTTTGGCGCCCAACGTAGGTACAGTCACCGCCTCCAAGGCAAAAGCAACGCTCACAAGGATCGTGCACACACACAAAAGCACAAACAAAGGTCTAAGCGGAGCCAGAGAGAGAGAGAGAGAGAGAGAGAGAGAGAGGACAACACAACACACCGTCAAATAGCAGGCAAACAAATCACCGAACCAACAGGCTGCCCGAGGATGGGGGGGAGCATGAAGATTGGAACTGGGCGCTGGCTACCCGGGACCTTCATATCCTACTTCATGCACGTACCGATGTTGGACTGTGCTCTGCTGTGCTCTGCGATTGGCGATTATTCATGATTTTATGGACTGGGTAGAAGGACATTAAAATTGCTTTTACGCCAACTCATCGGGCCCAGAGGATCAAACTGGTTATGTGCTTTGTATGCCACTCACAATCGTCGGGGAGAGTCGTCGCAGAGTCGGTAGAGTCGAACAGTCACAATCCATCCAGCCAGTCCTCTTTCCCCAGTCCCACACACAGTCCTCTGGGCAGGCCGCTCCTTTCGACTTTCGAGTTGGAGGAATCTGGAGAAACCAGTTTTGGCTCTGGCTGTGGCTCTGTGGCTCTGCGACTCTGTGGCTGTGTG